TTCCATTGTCCAAGTATGTTGGATTGCATAGCTCATAAGGATAACTTAGTAATTAAATTTGTATCATTGTTGCTTTTAATTATTTCATAAAGCAGCACTTAAAAGCTTATTATAAGTGTTGGATACAAAAACTGGTCTGTTTCCTCAGAACACTTTAGTTATTTCTGTGTTTTACAAATAACAAATTAACTTTAAAAACAACAAAACAAGTTTCAGTTAACACAAACACCCCATTATCTTTATAGAGAAGTCTTCAGCTGGGAGATTACGACTGGTCCAATGCTGGCAGGTGCTCATGGGACAATAATAACACAAGTTAATGGAAAACAGCACTACTGAATACAAGTTAATATGTTCTGTTGTGTTTTTCTTTTATAAAGGGAGCAGCCCATCTTCAGCGCCAGAGCTCATGTCTTCCAGATCGACCCGGCCACAAAACGCAACTGGCTGCCAGCCAGCAAACACGCTGTCACGGTGTCCTTTTTCTACGATGCCAGCCGCAGCGTATACCGCATCATCAGCGTTGGTGGAACCAAGGTGGGGACCCACCACACACATGACTGCACAGATACACATGTATAAATGCTGCTTCATACGTTCACATCGCACATTTTGTTATTTGGTTTTAGGTCAAGACGGTGAGTTAACAGTATTTTCCTCATATGGTACTAGTATTACATTAGTGTAGGGACTCTTCATTTGTAGAGTATCATATCCTACTGACTTGCATTTTACTGTGCACCCCATCCTTAGATTCTTCAAATAAAGGGAAGTAAATCTGTTTTCCATTTGGTTGTGGCTGTTATGGGTGGGGATGCATTAGTCGAAGTTGCACATTGTCAGCGGAATGTTTATAACACACCCACATCGGTAATAACGCATCCATAAGAACAGTAAAACACACAGGACTCCCAACACCGACAGCCTATCGTGTTGGCAACTAAATAAAAAAACTCTTTATTGTTATCAGCCAATTTAGCACCCTGAGACTTTAGTCTTTTGGAGAAGACGCCAAAGAAATCTACATCTGGTAACAAATCCACCTCATCAGACTGTTAACTTGAGAGTCTTTCAGAACAGATAGACGTACACCAAAACAAGCTTTTTCACTCAGCTCTTTTTCTGGCCTGGCTGTTTAATATCTTTCTTTGCGCGCACACTGCTCCAGTAGACCTCCACAATGTTTTTTTTAACTGTAAGTCACACAACTGCAAAGGCTCCAGATTTAGACAACTACATAATCTAAATGTGACTAGTGGTATTAATTTAGCAGTGTTATTTATTGTTGCTAATGATCTAAAGAAAAGCATAGAACTCAAAGCCAACAGCAGCCTGTTTACTATAATGTGCTACTGCACAGTGAAATGTTGGCCTCTTGATCATCAGATACAAATCTGCATATTTTCTGGTCAAGTGCATGCAAATGAAAAATAACAAAGAGCTGTAATGAATTTGGCATTTAAAGACGATATAAATGATTGATTCTGGATATTGAGAATGAGCTTCTTTTTAAAAGCTCATTTTGATACGTGCGTACAAGTACATGCAAGTTCAGCACCTGAGCAGAATTATAGTCAATGCACCTTCATCACTGCTACTGTAGTTGTGGATTTACTTAAACTCAAATCCTTGAGACATTTGTGAAATAAAAAGATGGTTGTAAATAGTGCTAAAGGAAATATACAATTTGATTAAAAAAACTAACAAACAAATGTTAAAGGAAAATGCAAAATATGAATAATAAATGTGCTCCAGTGAACAAATAAGTTTGTCTTCTTAGCAAATGAAATATAATAATATTCCAATATGTTTCTCTTTTATCTGTACCTCATTTATATTTTAGGCTTGACCCCCTATAGATTTTGTCTGAACACCCTCCAGTGTGCATAGTTGATACATGTTTAATATCTCTCTCAGTTGTTCCACCTTCATATATATATATACCGTGTATTTCTGTGCAGGATCATTTACCTACTTTAGTGTTCATGTTATTTATTACTTATTTTATTCTTTGTGGTGTCAGGCCATCATCAACAGCACCATCACCCCCAACATGACCTTCACCAAAACCTCCCAAAAGTTTGGCCAGTGGGCAGACAGCAGGGCCAACACCGTCTATGGCCTGGGCTTCTCCACAGAGCAGCAGCTGCAGCAGGTAAACATCTGTCACACACACACCTCGACAACATTAAAATACAATACTTACAAGAGTTTTTTCATTTATTCAATACTACACAGAGAGGGTTAGGTGGAAAAAGAGGCACTATGGAGCAGGAGAGTACAGTGATGTGATGATCAAGGCCCCATTTCCCCCATTTTTCATTCATAGTAACACGTCTTTTATTCTGTCAGTGTCTGATTACACAGAGACACAAAACACCTCAACAACACAACACTATGATACAGGTTTTCGCACACTTCTTCCCATGATATTTAATATTATTTTTATTTTATTAATCTGCAATACTTATATATTTGGTATGTAATATATTTTGCTGTCAGAAAACAACCTTCAGAGAACATATTTTATTTTATTTTTGATATTTATATATGTATATATAAAGCTACTAAATAATACATTGGGAAAGATAATTACATGTTGAAATTACAAAGAACAAAAAGGGGTCAGAGGTCCAGCACCTCAACAATATATGGAACAAATATTCTTGTAACTCCAGATTGAAGCTGCATGATGCATACGGCAGGCAAGAAGTCAAGCCATTTTATTCTGTTTTTTAATGAAGTTGTCATGCAAAAGCACCAACTGAAGATTTAAAACAGTGATGTAAGGAGGATGTAGACATGGTGCGTTTTGAGTTTTAAGGTGTTTTAGCATACAGGGTGTAACTTCTGTCTTCTGTGTCCACCTGCAGTTTGCAGAGCAGTTTAAGGAGGTGAAGGAGGCGGCCCGTCTGGCCAGAGAGAAATCTCAGGAGAGGTTTGAACTGGCCAACCCTGCCCTTAACTTTGCAGCTCCAGAGGTAAAGCACTGCTCTACTTTCTTAAATGTTTTCTTGGTTAGTTTGGCTGATTGTAGCATTCCCCAGGTAGAAAATGGAAGCTCCATATTCTCAAATATACTGACAAATCAAATCTGTGTAGTGAATAATAAGGGGAAATTAACATAGTAATAAATGCATTTTGCTATGCCGATTTATAACAATAAATCACCTCGTGAAAGCTTTTTCTATTCGCTGATCTGAAAACATCCACAAAAGACAAAAGTGGGAACTATTTTCTTCTGAAAGGAAAAGAAAATGTTGAAAACTGTCCACGGAGGGGGGGGGGGGGGGGGGGGGGGGGGGTTGAGGTTGTGGATTAGTTTGAGTAATCTGGACATTGTTTCTGAAAAGACACATTACTGTAGAGTTTCTTATTTTCAGTATTTAGATGCTTTGAGCACCACAAATAAGGTTCATTCACCCCCATTATATTGGGGTGGAAGAATTCTGAAATGGCAGAAATTAAAAACCAACACTATCTGAATCGAGGATAGTTTCATTCCAATTTACTGAATTAGGTGTTATGAGGAGTAATCAGCAATAGGATTTTTTTATTTTTTTTTTTTATTGGTGTGACCAGTACAAGAAGCCCAAATTGTCCACTGTGTGCGGACACCACCACAGGAACTGGCACTGCTATTAGGGTTGAATAACCACTGGTTTTATTTTATGAGAAACATCTGAAAGCTCGCAGTGCAAAGGTTTGTTGTTCAGACTTTAGAGAAAACATATTTTTAAACATTTGAAAAAAAAAATGTAGACATGGCCTTTTAATAAGGATGGACAACAAGTTCATGATGGTGAAGAGACGTGATGGTGTCTGTGACTCCCAGGCTAATACGACAGAAGGGAGCAGTAATATGCCAATGAACTTAGTGGCTTTGTTTCTATTTTAAACGTATACCGAATCACGAGGGATTGGATATAACCCCATCTGGCTGCTCAGTTATTCTCCCATTGGTTAACTCCATTAAAAGAGTTCATGCATGGCAAATGGAGATGAGCGGCTGAAAGGGACGCTGGGGCTGAAGGTGTTTGGAGGGGCAGTAATGGCTGGGACTGAAAGAACGAAGAATGAGGGATCAGGAAAATGGAGTTGGAGGAAGGGAGGAGAGCTGAATCATCTATAATTGAAGGGAATCTGGCTGCTGCTGCTGCTGCTGAAAGGACAATGGCCAGCTTTTATCCTGCCAGCATCCATGATTTCTTGGTGGACTTTATAACTCTGAGGTTCAGTTTGAGAAGTGAAAGTTTGCCAGCGGTGGAAACTTTTCATCCTGCACCTTTTTCTCGCACCTTTTACAAGCCGCCTTGTAGTGACAGTACAAGTAGATCACAAGACAGAGTTTTCTTTCGACATTTACAACACCAAAAATAACAACTAGCACACACTCGGTTTGGGAGGCAGTGATTTAATTGTACAAACATGGCTAACTTTTGAGAAGCTTAGGAGCTGCTATACTAGTCTTGTTTTTTAGTTAGTTCTGCCAAGTATTGGCATTAAGAGTGTGTTTGGTTGTTGTAGTGACACAGATTAGTGACATGAACTTGAGTGGGTGTGTGTTGGGGTGTAGTCCTAACAAAGAGCCACTCAGCAGGTCTGAGAGACTGCAGTCACGCTGCCAACCCAACCTCCGCACTGAGACACTCGGATGTGAGCTGATTCAAAGGTCCTTTGTGCTGCCTGCTTTTAATGTGTCTTATTTTGTTTAATATTAACCCTTCAGATCAGATTAAGGGTCAGTTTGCTAATCGCTCAGTGTATTTGACATTGATCAGTTACTTTCTTTTTGATCACTCTAACATCCTATCTTTAACTTTTTACACTGGGAGTTAATGACAAAAGCTTAGTTTGAGATCTGTTTGTAAATTTATGAAAAGAGAAAATTGGGGACTTTGTCGTCACATGGAAAGCGTCTTAACCACCAGGAAGCTCCTATAAATTGGATTTCGTAACACTTTTTAAATCAACATTGTTATCAAGTCCTTTATAGTGGAAAAAGTATGAATGGAAATATAACGGTAAAAAACAGAAGAAAAGAAAATAGGTAATGAATAAAAAAAGAAAAAAGGTAGAACAATTGTAAAACACAGCTTTCTTCATAAAACTGTAACCAATCGATTAAGAAGGAAATGATCCTGTTTCATACATGTGTTGTATGACGATATTGCAATTCTTCCCATGTACAAAATGAATTTCTTGCTTCTAATATCTCTTCTTTGGCAGGGAAGAGTTGCTGTAGGATGTAACAGTATATGCAGTACTCTGAAACCCCAGTGTTCCGGTGTAGGAACAAGAATGGAAAACGATTAATGAATAAAAATGCAGTGAGGACATGAAACCGCTGAATTCAGGCCCTCGGTGTGATTTGCAGAGTCAAACTGTACAAATAGAGGTCAGGGTCAGCAAGCAGAGGGGTTACATCCTGTTACCATGGCAACCAGGTAACAAAACTCACAGAGCACTGTGACACACACACAGACAATAACATTACCTGGATAAAGCTGCAAGGTCAGACGAGCAGCCGTATTTCTAGAAAACAGCAGTCATTGATTTAGTGTCGGGCAGTAAACACAGAGGTGTTGTCGTGGTTATTATCCCATCCTCCGACTCACCGCTGCACGTTGTAAAACACTAGAGTGCTGACTTTCTGAAGCTGTGTAATATGGAAATAATAGCCCGTCAAAGTTGTTATGGAGTGCGAGTACACAAGGTTATTGTACGTATGAACTACAGCCAAGTATTGATTGCAGCTCTAATGTCAGTTGAAAGCTCCATTAAGGATGACGTGGCTGTCATTTACCAGACTGTGAGTACTGTTTAAAGCTCTCCACAAACACCAGAACAAAGATATTAAAAATAACTCATTTGTGTAGAAGTAGAAGTTGCAAAGTTTACCAAAGAAAATAGCTTGAGTTAAATGTTGGTGAATAGAACAAAAATCCAAAGTGTCTCTTGCTACCAAATGTTAGTCAAAAAGTCAGGAGGTAGAGGAAGAAAATGTAATAACGGCTAAATATGCAAACCTTACATCACGAGACACTGATGAAACTACAGCAAATGTTTCTATGCTGGAGGGGAGCTGCAGTATTTAGTCTTGTTTTATTTTCCTCTGCTGTATCTGTAGGTTTTGCATCACACTTAGCTGGTCAGTAACCATCCACCCTATTGCAGAGGTGTATTTGTGCAGCCTCGAGCTTTACAGAGCACATTTTCTGCCTCTGATATGTGGATGGCAGCAGGGGATCAGCATGCAGTAAAGCTTCAGCTTTCAGGCATATTTGCAGAGCTCAGAGATGAGATGGAGGAGATGGTGAAGTTCAGTGAGATAAAGAAGAAGAGTGGTAAACAGAGCAATATAGAGTGCATTGTAGAACTGACAAGTACAAAGACTCAAAACATGCTTATGCCATGAAATTTTATTTTTGGAATATATTAATTTTTTATTATAATCTTGTCTTATATTATATTCCATTTCTGGCAATATATCCACCCTCAATGCTACACACTACGAAAAATAAATAAACTAAGCCTAAACATGGACAATTCCAGGATCATTATGTCATGTATGAACAAATTATTGAAACAACATTCGTCTTATATTCAGTTAATAGAATTGAATAACATCCAGTTTAAAGTCACTTGAAATAAACACAATAGGAACATGACATGTGGTGTTAATGAGCTCATCTCACAGGGCTTGTCAGACAAAACAAAGGTTGGAAATGAATAATTGTCAAAAAGAGTGCAGAAGAGATAAGATCTCTGCCCATAAATCCTTTGAACAGCAGTGTAAACACAGCAGAACACAGAAGCTGTTTGCCTCATCTGACAGGTAACAGCTGTCATTTGTTTGCGCCTGCTGATTGGAGCTTTTTTCCTCTGCTATCTCCGGCCGTACATGGTATCCATGCAGAGCCTGAGAGGCAAACCGAAATGCCACTTATCAATATTTTAAACCACAGACTTGGCATTAAAACAGGCTAAAAAGAAGTATGTGTGTTTTGGGCCGTGTCGTTTAGTCGGCAGGGCAGGTTCTTCAAGGGAAACGTAAGCGTGTACCTCTGATGCATGGACACATGAATAAATAAATCAGGTGTGTGTCTCAGTGAAAACGGGAAACAGAGGCTTTATAAAGCTAAAGGAGCAAATGCACTGATGCTCGGATAAATAAGTAAACAGCATAGATGTACTTAAGATGAACAGTGGTGCAGAGACATCAGCTCTCAGGAAAGCCGTTGAATATTCAAGTATCTGGGATTTCCATCGATTTCAAAGCAAGCCTCTCAAAACTCCAAACCCCAAAGCAACTTAAAGGTAACTTTGGGGTTGTTGAAATACAACACAAACATCCACATTTATTTTGCAGATAGTGTTCATGTGGATGTTTTGATGATTAGATAAAGAACAGAAAAACAAAAGATTATTTGATGGGCATCTTTTTTCTGTCTCTATCGATGATACTAAGCTCACTTTACTGCTCTCTTCCCAGAGATCACATGTCACTCAAACATCAGGGACGGTACTGTGACCTCTTCTTCTTATTCCAATACAGTTGGTTTTTTTTGTTCAGCCTTCAGTTGCAGTCACTGCTCCTCCTCATGACTCTCTTCTTCCTTTGTTCTCTCCAAACAAACCAGAAATAAAAATGAATCGATACCTGTGCAGAAACAAAACTTGGTGAATGGTAAAGCTTTCATGAACTGGGCATCACTGTATGTATTGTCAAAATAATGGCATGGTTTTATTTATCTATGATCTACTTTTTTTTTTTCTATTTCTCCTCATCTGGCACTTCCCTCTCCCTTCCCCCGATGCATCATGGGACATCTGCATCCCTCAGCTCTCCCAGGTGCGTAAAAACACACGCCAGCCAACAATCCAAAAACAATACAAAGACAACCATCTTCTTTTGTCTGAGGGACTGCGGTGTTCATAGTCATGCATCTCAGCGTTGCATGGACTATCATGCTCAATAATTCATCTGGAGTCTGATCAAAGTTGACTTCAGAGCAAATTTAGCTTCAGAGCACAGCTGGTGTTTGCTACAAAAGAGTAAAAGGTTTGGCAACCACGGCACAACATGTAATTTAGTCTGCACAGTCTATCGAAAATGTACAGAATATGGCAACATTAAGATTAATTCATCCGAATTTACTTCCCCAAAAGACTTCAATGATAACCTCGAATATCCCCTGAGAACAGACGGCACACAGAACTGTCCTTTTTAAGAGCGAATATTCCTTTGAACTCTGCCTAATTAGTCTTTGGTCGCAGGCTTGTGCTCTTGAGTGTCTGCCTTGTTTCCACTCAGCCTGTTGGCGAACAACATACGGAAAAACTGCTGTAAATTTGTAATCCCATTTATGACTTAAACATGATCCACAGTATGAATTATTAAGAGATACGCACAGCCGATCCGTTGGCTTTGGGGCCGGACTGGAGTTGTCTTGACTTTGATTTTTCCCGTTCTCGGGTTCCTTCCTCTGGACACTTTGTTTGGCTGTGTGTTATATTTCCATATTCATCCACGAGGTCGGACAGAGAGCTGCTCAGCTATAGATAATATACCATCGTCCTCGGGGGAATACACTCGGGCTTGCTCAAATTAATAAAACAAGCTTTTTCTAGAATAAGTGCAGGGTTGTACTGCTTCAGTGAGGCACTCGGTCATTGACAAGTTCAGGTTTAGGTTACCACACAGAAAGAACGACGACGCTGGATAAAGAAATGTGCCCAAGCTAATTCATCTGCATGCTTTTAAAAAAAAAAAAGGAGACTTTCTTTCAGTGTTTGCTTTCAGTCTTATAGCCCACAGCCACAACTGAGGGAAATGGTTCACAAAACTGTGTGAAAGGAAGCTTGATCCCATTTCTGGGCAGCAGAGAGGGAAAGTATCAAAGCAGATTGGTTAGACTTGACTGTGCCAGGCTGGAGTCGAGCTATCCGCATGCTGTAGTATACTGTATGTCATATTCAAAGTCTCTTTTTGACACGAGAGGAACATCAATTATTACTCTTCTTGTACTGTATCACCATTCAGTTTATTTAACTTTCATTTTATACTGTAGGCTACTCCTAAAGAAGTAAAAGAAAAGAAAACACTACTGTAAGATATAGCGGTTTACTTTATATTTTAATTTATAAATCTCCCAGGGACAAAATATATTCCCAACTTGATGTCCAAATGTAACAACCCGAACCCGAATCTTCTTGTTGTATCATGGCTGCGGATCCATTCAGTGTCGAACTAAAGGCCACAGGTGTGATATGTTACTGTGAGACACCAACTGTACTGATTGAAGCCTTAATCTCTGCTCCAAAACACAGACTTCTAGCTTTCAAGATAACTGCATCAGTTAATATTAACTAGCAAGTACTAGTTAGTATTGGTGATATTATTAAGGTTCTAGTTGGTTGTAGTGGCATCTAAACAACAAAAAATAGTCAGATGGAACACTATTCAATTATTAAGTTCCCAGCAAAAACAAATTTCCATTCATATCTATGTAAATGACTGGATTATTATAATTATTATTATTAAATGTGCCACAATGTCTATTTTTCACAATTTGCTCAACATCTGTTGTACACATTGGATGCACAGATGTACACATCACAGCAGGATCACCAGCATGTACATATCATTTTTTTACACAAACACCTTTCCTGTTGAGTCCAATCAGATCTCTAAAGTTGTATGAAGAGAAGGCAGCTGGGCTCCACATGTGGCTGCTCACTCTGCATGGAACCTGTTTACAGGGACACAGATGGGACATACCAGGCACACTGACAGGTTGAGCTCTGTCCTGTCACGCTGCCGAGTCTTGTCCGTTTTGTTCTGATGCCGGGTCTGAGTATTGAGACAGTAATGGGCCCTTTCACCAGCTCCAACCTGAACCTCTGAGCCAAAATGAAATGAATTGTGCTCAATCTTGTGTCGACAGTGTAACATCCACAATCAATACTCTTTGTTTATGGGTATTTTAGCATATTGGAACATTTAATGTCATTTGGAACATCCGCTGTGAATAAAATAATGTGGTGCAGACTAAATACTCGCTAAGTGCTCTTGTTCTCTAAACGGGCACTTTCTCTTAAAGGACTCTGGTCCCACAAAAGGAAAACTGCAGAGTAGTTGATTAGGATTTACATTTTAATCCCAAACAACTCTATGAAACATCATTTTTTCTCAAATGTTTAACACTTACAGAAAATGTTCTAGAACAGAATGAAACTGATGTTGTGTTAACAGAGCTGCTGCTGATTTTAATTTCACCTTTTGTAACAGAGCTCATGTCCTGATTGTGTTGTTGTGCCAGGAGTTGTCGGAGGAGCGTCATTCTCCGCCGCTGCTCACAGTCAACGGGCCCGGCGAGGAAAAGCTGTTTCGCAGCAAGAGTGCTGAAGTGGAGCTGACGGTGGAGAAGGAGAGGGTGAAAAAGATGTTGTCTGAAGGGTAATAACAATGTTTTTTGTTTTTTTCACTTGCCTCTGTGAGCACCAGGCTTATTGTCTGGAGAAAAGAAAGCTAAATGGTTTTACTTACTTAAAGACCAGCCCTGATAAGCCCTCCTCTTAAGACACTTTTTTCATATCCTATCAGGTAAGTAGGGATGCACCGATACCATTATTGGGTATCTGTCCGATACTGTACTCGTAAAACTACTCCAATTCTACCACACACGACACCACTGCATGCGTTGTCCTGGATACATGCAGCCTCTTTCCCAGTAAGTGTCTTTAACCCTAAAATGTTTAGCATGCCCCTGGGCTCACCTAAAGGGTCCGAGGTCCATCGACCACAGACTCGTAAAATTGTGCCAGAAACACTGATAATACTTTAAAAAACATTCACGAGTGTATTTTTCAGACAAAGTACTAACCTTGCATTTGATTTAGGATACTTGTTTTACAACACGGGCAGAAAGACGAGAACAAGAGAAACGGAGAAAGAGGAGCATGGTGTAGTGGAATTGTTTTTGCTGGAGCTTCTGATGTTTATGAAAGGATATTAACAGCAATCTACGAAAAATAACAAACAAAACACAGATATAAAGTACACAGCAGCAGATGTGAGTGAGTGGGAGTACTGGAATGGAAATGCATTGGAGTTTAGAAAGTTTAACACTAAGGTTGTGATCCCGTCTCTAACCTTCAGTTTGGCTACATGAGCAGATGGAAATGCCCAGAGCACTTTGTTGAGCTCTGTAGAGTAAATAGAATTTACTCCAACTGCTAAAATCCTGTCCTCTCAGCAAGTACAAGCATTAAAATGCAAAGCGTTTAAGGAGTGCATATAATAATAATAATAATAATAATAATAATAATAATAATAATAATAATAATACTACATTTTATTTGTATGGCGCTTTAAAGGGTCCTCAAAGACACTTTACATGGAAAAAACAGAAACAATAAAAGCAATTACAATATAAACAAAATAGATGAAGGATCAGCACAAAACACATACATAACTAACTTTACAGGTTAAAAGCAGATTTGAATAGGTGAGTTTTAGGTGCACTTCTAAAAGTGGTGAGTGACGGAGAATGTCTGAGGTGCTGGGGGAGGGAGTCCCGGAGGGGGGGGGGGGGGGGGGGGGGCAGGGGAAAAGGCCCCGCCCCCCCGGGTCCGAGGCTTGGACAGGGTAGAGGGGGGGGGGGGGTAAGGAGGTTGGCATCGGCGGATCTGAGGTTGCGGGTGGGAGCGAGTCGATGCAGGAGGTCCGATAGGTATGAAGGGGTGAGGTTATGAACAGCTTTGTATGTGATGAGGAGATTCTTGAACTGGATTCTTTGCTGTATGGGGAGCCAGTGGAGGTTTTGAAGGACTGGGGTGATGTGGTGTCTGGTGGGGGAGTGGGAGAGTAGACGGGCAGCAGAGTTCTGGATGTATTTTAGTTTGTTGATGATTTTGGTGGTGAGCCGTACAGGATGCTGTTGCAGTAGTCCAGTCGAGAGGTGATGAAGGAGAGGATGAGTGTCTCAGCGGCTGAGGAGTGGGAGGGGCGGAGACGGGCGATGTTTTTGAGATGAAAGAAGGCGTTTTTTGTGATGTGATTGACGTAGCGTTCAAAGGAGAGGGTTTGATCAAAAATGATACGTAGGTTACGGACATGTGTGGGAGCAGGGACAGTGGTGCCATCGATGCAGAGGGAGAAGTTGTGGTGGGATTTTTTTAGTGATTTGAGGCCGATGATGAGGAATTCAGAATTGTTGCTGTTGAGTTTGAGAAAGTTTGCTTGCATCCAGGTTTTTATATCTGTGAGGCAGTTGGTGATGATGGAGTGGATGGTGGGGGTGATGGATTTGGTGGCGATGTAGAGCTGGGTGTCGTCAGCATAGCAGTGGAAATGGAGACCATGGTGGCGTATGATGTCGCCAAGGGGGAGCAGGTAGAGGATGAAGAGGAGGGGACCGAGTACTGCACCTTGGGGGACACCTTGAGAGAATGGGTGTCGGACTCGAATTTATTGATACTAATGAACTGTTCACGGTCGGAGACGTATGATTTGAACCTGGAGAGGGCTGTGCCAGTAATGTGGAGGGAGGACTCGAGAGGAGGATGGAGTGGTTGATGGTGTCAAAGGCTGCACTGAGGTCGAGTAGTAGCAGGTTGTCGAGGGAGTGGTCATCAGAGGAGAGGAGGAGGTCATTGGTGACTTTGATCGGGGCAGTTTCTGTGCTGTGATGAGATCTGGATTGAAAGGGCATATTTTAACAACACAAATGTTTATAAAATGTTAATCTGCATCACAATTCCTTTTTCAGAATTGTTTCAGGTTATTTTAGTAGTTCATGAGAAAACGGCAATTTTTTTTTTCTCTGTCCCATGGCTCAACTTTTCACCAAAATTCACGGACAGCTGTTGACAGGTTTCTGAGATGTCCTTCTCATAAACAAAGCAATAAACATGACCTCATTGGCAAAGGGAATACGTTTTGTAGAGACAGCACTTTATTCTACATCAAAACATACTATTATCCACTCAGAGACCAGTTTGTACCCACACTACAACTGAGGGGTTTCTTTCTGAGATGAGAGCTGCTATTTGGAAATAAAAGTGACTCATACCGTAACTAACAGCAGAAAATGAAAACTATTTTGTAAACTGGAAACATTTGTGTCTCAGTTAGTTGAGGCTGCAGCAGAGAGTAGCATCACATTCCCACTCCCTGAGACTGTCGATTCTGAAGATTAAAGCGGCTATGATTGTTATTTTTATAATGGCAATGTATAAATAAATAACTACATGAAAATGCTACGATTAACCTACAGATAATTAACACCTGAATCTGCAGCTCCCCTCTGCTTTACAGAGCTTTATAACGTCTTCAACTCATTGTAGAGCTGTGCGGCTACAACTTTTGGTACATCAGGCAGCTGTTAAAACTCACACTTGATCGCCTGATCAGCACCAAACAGCAGACAGACACAGTTAGCCACGAGCTGGAACATTCAGCAGCTAAAGAGACAGATATTTCCCTCAGGAGTTTAAATGGTGTTGCTATGTCAATGTTGTGTTCATAACTTGTTTCTGCTGCCTCCAAGTGGCTAAAGAAAATCACCTATTGCAGGCTAAAAGTTGAGTTTCGCACTTGGACAGATAAGGAAGGACTCACAAGAGAAATGACATGTGCTCTACTCACTCTAATGACTCACTAGTGTAAGATTGTGCCTCTTTCTCCTCAGTTTTTCTTTCATAGCATCACAGACTGGTGTGTTAGGATTAAGCTCTTGAGAAAAATAACAGCATTGCTAAACTAGAAGATCAGCAATGAGTCAATCTAAAAACATTTTTACAACAACGCGACGTGTATTCTGTCTAGCTCTGCGTTAGTGTTGGTGTGTGTATGTGTGTCCATGTCTTGAGGCCAGCCAGGCAGCTGAATCTAGCAGCTTCTAATGATCGTCATCACGGTGCCCTTTATTGAACACTCAACCTTCCATCTGAGACCAGGAAGCAGAAAAACTTTACTACCCGGCTGCTTTACAACCGATTATCCTGACGGTTTTATTTTATGACTGTCAGAAGCCTGCGCAGGCTTTTTTTCTCCTGTTGCTATGGTGAGTAGCTTTATGGATGCCAAGCTGTTAGTTTGGTCGTCATGGTGGGAAATCTCTGGTTTATTAAATATCCCCTGATCCTGACCTTTACTGGCACACGGGACCGGATCCGTCTGTCCAACATGCTGATAATAGATGACGCGTCACTCGTGTTGCTTTATTTCTTCTGTAGCCCGGGTAACCCTGTGCAGGATTGCATTGTAAGATACCTCTCTCAAGACGAAAGAGAGATAGAATATTTGAGTAATAATAATCTAATTAATTGAGGGGAAAGGTAATACAAAAGTCTGATGTAAGGGTACGAGTCAGTTGATGCTAAAAGAGACGTTTTTAATCTAGTTCTGTCTCAGACTTCTCTGAAAACATTAAAATAAATGGCCGTATGGCTCCCTAAAATAAAATAAATGTCACATCATATTCCTCCAAACAGCTGGTGCAGCATGGTATAAATGTTTCCCTTCATTAACTCATTATATTCTGCATTTTCTTCACCAGCAGTGCTTCTCTCTGAAAGTAACAGTTGACCAGCATCATGTGTTTAATGCTGCAGTAATCAATATTTTCTATTTTAACAACAGATCAAATGACTGTGTGAAATGCTAAATGGGTGTTTTTTTAGAAAAGAAGCTCTGAGAAACCGACCGCAGCACCACACAAAAATAAATAATTCCGACATTAAGTTAAGTCTCTGTCTGTTTTTGTGACTTCCCCTCAGGTCCATGTGTGAGATAAACCTGGAGGCTGAGCTCTTCACCCTGCAGGACAGTAACTCCAAGCTGGTGGAAGCGCTGCAAGAAGCCAACAGCGGCGTGGAGCAGTGGAAGAAACAGCTAGCTGAATACCAGGAGGAGACCGATCGCCTCAGAGACCAGGTGACGTACGGAGGGTGGACAAATGAACACCTCATAATACAAAATCCCTGCAGCTGACAACAATATAGTGCATCTGACCCTTTGCTAAATTCACAAAACCAGCCTGAAATAGAAGCAAACAGAAGCTGGCCAGTGCTACGCTATGATTGGCCAGTCTGCTTTCAAGGGGCGGGACCTAGCGAAGGGTCATTTATTGATCAAGGATGATTTTTCAATTCAGACATCTATAACTATCACACTGAAATCCCCACACAGACTTGGTCTCTTCCGAACTGCAGATGCATTTTTCATCCAGCCCCCCCCCTTTCTTGGGATATTTCTGTTGACAGGCTCCCGTGATAATCGCAGGGCCAGAACGCAGGCGTTTCATATTTAATTTAGAGAGAGAAAATCATGCCCTTGGTCAAGCTTAACAAGTCTTCTTCAATGCGACAGAATTAAGTGCTGCTGCAACCGGTCTGCAACGAAACTATAACCACCAGTGACAGAAAACTGGCCCTTTTATTTTCAGCCCACGTTGTGGTTTCATCTATCTCTAAGAGTCCAGGTGAAGGTTGGTTACCCCCCCCCCCCTCCTCCGAACACACACTCTGCAGAAAAGTCAACCAGGTTGCAGGAAGTAGAGCAGGCCCCCAGGGTTTGGCAATAGGGTGTTGAGGGGGACAGGGATGTGGGTTTTTTTTGGTGGGGGGGTTTACAGAACACCCTATACAGCCCACCCTCTTCCCCCCTTTCTGCCCTATTTAGAGAAAGAAAATAAATCACCGTCTGTGCAGAAGAAGAGAGGTTGGCTGGCTTTTTCTTCCTTGTCACAGTCTCTGATTCAGCCGTGTTTGTGTTCACTCACAGCAGAAGGTTTATTTTCTGGATTGACTCTGAGCCCTGCTCAGTTTTAAGGAGATTTAGCAACACATGGAGTGTGAGAGTTAGGTTGTATATTGTATTCGATTGTGGGATACTTCAATAGGTTTTTGTGTACTCGCATGTTTAGTTGTTTTTTATTTTTAAGATATTAATTTGACTTTCAGTTGAGCAAGTTTTTGTCGATTTTTATTTTGCTTCATTAGAAATTGTATCTGTAAGTTATATATTTGGAATTATGATGTATGAAACCAATAACAGCAATCTAAACTATTATACAAATATGAAATGCAAAGAAATTCGATTTTTCATCGAACCCATAGTTTCAACGTGACTGTATTGTTTGCCTTTTGGTTTTGTCTTTCTGTGTTTTGGGGATTTTTTTGGCAACTGTGATTCTTGGATGTAAATCAAATTTCTAGACGCTAAACAAAATTAATTCCACAGATAAACATTTTGTTTACTTTCCAACTGTCTAAATATAGTGAGCTCAGAGAGAGCATGCCTCCATCAAAGCTGTACAATTATAATTTTGTTTAGTTAAACTAATATTTGAGCCAGGACAAAAGGTAGGTAGTCGTAGCAGTGGGTGATGAGAATTAAATCCTCAATCACACTATATGTGACTTTATATCACAATATTCGTATTACGACATGATGAATTGTCTGAATCTATTGAGAAGCTATTTTTGAAAACATTACCAGACAAGAGTCTAATCCAGCATGTTACACTTATCAATGTGATTCATAACCTTTGGTGCAAAATCCTTTATCGTCATAAAGCAGTCTCATTGATCTGTAACTTTGCCTGCAATTATCTAATGCAACCAGATACATTAAAGGAAAACTGCAACTAACGATTATTTTCATTATCAACTCATCTGCAGATCATTTTCTTGAGTAATTAATAAGTTGCTTAGCCTATAAAATGTAAAAAAAAAAATAGTGTAAAAATGCTGTTTTCAATTTCTTGTCAATCTGTTGAGATTAAAACGTTCCTGGGAACATAACTTTAAGGTTTCTCTTTCGTGTATATTTGTGTGGTGTTCAAAGACATGGAGTTGGTGTCTCTGGGGACAGTAGCTGTCGCATACATACGAAGGGGTTGCGTCCCTCCACCCCCAACCCACAGCGGTTTACTGAAGCTCGGCTTGGATGCCGGGCGCCGTGGCATAGCGTGGAATCTATAAAGAGCCGCTTTGAAATTGTGAAAATGCAGAGGAGATGCTATTGGGAGGGAAAATAAATTTGACACGGGAGCAGGAAACCCTCTCGCCTCACCCTCACACATTTACATTTCAGACATTAATAACAAGCATTGTGATGATTCCTGCATCGCCAACTTTATCATGGAGGTCAAGAGTTGAGGCATCTTTGTGTGAATTCCCGTTTTACTTTTCTGTTTATCTCAGATTTTTTTAATAAGCTCTTATCTATCACACATTTTCAGTATTTTCTCAGATCAAATTAAGGGTTTGGTCTATAAAATTGCAGAAATTATTGGCAGAATGTCCATTACAATTCCCCAATGCAATGTCTTTAAATTGCTTGTTTTGTCTGACCATCAATCCCAAACCCAAAGACAGCCAGTTTACTATCACAGAAGACGAAACAAAACCAGCAAATATTCATATTTAAGAATCTATCAAATAACTTGTGATTTCAGTTTTATACAGTGCTGTGATTTCAATTCTCACACTCCTCACAGTTCAATATTCGGCTGGCAGTTGAGAGATTTAAGATTATTTGAGTTATTATAAGTAACTGTGTGTAAAAGAGGAAAAGCACAAGTGTGAATTAGCAAACATAAATGTCAGCTGTGATTATGACTAAAGTCAGGTTTTGTCCACAGCAGCTGGCAGTAATGAGTACACACTGACATGCACAAGCACATTTGATTCATTTAATCCAATTAGCACAGCGCTCAGAACAGTCAGACTGTCAAGTAAACCTTTTTATCTACAGTAATTGTCTTAATGGGAGGGCTGTCGGGTGAGACCTAACCTGTTTCAACACACAGATTTATAAACAATACTCCAGTTTTAGATCATATAAACTCATTGCCCAGATGTGATTGTATTTTTTTTTTTTTTAAACTTTGCAGAGCATAGTAGAGCTGATTTAGATTTAGAAAACAAACAACAAGATGTAATAACATGAGTCTTATCAGTTTTTTAATTAATTTGGTTAAAGCTTATCAACAAATCCTGTTACTTCCAACTGTGAACACTTGGGACTTAATTAGATTGTTGTGTTAATGGGATTACTCCTGAAGCATGCAAAAATTATGGTGTTTTTGTTGAAGGCCCAGTGGGAATTGAACCCCTAACCAAGGCGGTGTCAGTGCCTTACCTTTGAGCTAGTAGATAAACAGTGAGACACAAAAAACTCCCCGTCTTTGGCTTTTCCATTAATATGTTAAACGCAGGGAAGTGGGTTAGATTGGGAAAAGTAATTTGTCATCAGTTTGTTTTTTTTTGTTTTTTTTTGTTTTTTTAACAAGGTCACGTTCCTTCAACAATCAAAAAAAAGTCTCCAAAGCGAGAGAGTTCAGCCCTGTGACCACTGGCAGTGAAGCTTTTTTTCCACAGAAGCATCGCAGTTTGGTGTTGGTATGGTGATTGGTAGTGTGTGTGTGTGTGTGCAGGTGTGTGTGCGTGCATGCATCTCTGGTGGAGATTCAAGATAGATGAGAGAAGGAATGAATCATCGTGTATGTAGACGGGTATGTGTGTAGGCGATTGCCCTCTGTTGGTTTTCCTCATTTCCATCAGTAGTGATCATCAAAGTATTTGTATATTTGCGTTTGACTATATTATTGTATTTGTACGTTACTGCCCATGTAAACAAACGTTTTAATGGCTGATTTCCATGTTTTTTTCGCTGGAGGTGAAGGGTCATGGGGTGTTCTCTGGATTAATAAAATGACACCACACATTAGGTTAATGCACGCCTTTCGTTGGATAACTGCTATAATGAGATGCTAGTACATCATTCTCCTCATTACAATGGGTTTCTGTTTACCCTTTTCTTTTTACCGACACCAAGCACTTTCTCATGTTCGTCCATCAGCAGATTATTGACAATCTGATTCCATATTCCCATGAAACCTGGACTGATCAGCTTCAGATGAAAATAATTCGATAAGATTATGAAGCTAAATCAGACAGACTTTCCAACTCCTGAAGTGATTTTTTTTCAGGATCAATTTAAAACTAATTCACTGTGAAAAGACCTCTGTGCTTCTGTTGAACAGCAAGATGGAGTTGTCTAGCGTCTTTGAAATTCATGGTTTCGATATGTCTGCTGCTGACTTTCATCAATCAGGCTCCAAATGAGAACTATGTTGTTTACAATGGATACTTGTTTTTTTTTAACATTTCTATTTATTTTTTGATTAAACATCAATTTTATGTTTTGTGCAGTGTTATATTTAATATGACTTGTGTACTCTGCTGTCTGCTTGTTCAAATGTACCTCCTCCACAGACCATAGTTCTCCATGACTTCTAAAGGGGTTTAAGCCAAAATTCTGAATATTGCACTCATCCTTACCAGCCCCAAGGCCCTTAATAACGTAGCTCCCTCCTACCTCCAGGATCTGTTCTCCAGTCCACCCTCCCTTGTTGCCTCAGGTCCCGTGGTACAGAACCTGGGATTTCGGGGCCTCTTCAGTTACTGCTGCCTTTCTCTGGATTTCTTCTCTAAAAATCAACCTGTTTCAAAATGCCTTCCCTTCCTAACCCCAAAAAACCCTAGTTGTAATGTTATTAAATATATTTCAACCTTAATCACGTCCAAACTGAACATTTTCAGCAGTTCTTGGATGGATTGCCATGAAATTTTATACAGACATGTTTGGCTCCATGAGAATGAATCCCACTTACTTTGGCGACCCCCTGACTTTTTCTCTATCACCACTACAAGGTTGACATTTGTGGTTTTGAGGACAATGTTTTTATTTGATGGATTGTAGTGCAGCCTCACAGAGCTGCTAGCATGACTGTGAACTCTTGTTATCTTGTAAAATGTGTTTTTGTTATGTTATTAAGTATGGGTTATTAATGTTGTGTGTTCCAGGTGTCGGAGCTCGAGGCCCAGCTGGGGCATCCTGCTGCTGGTCAGACTGCTAGAGAGGAGCTGAGTCAATCAGTGGAGGAGCTGGAAGCCCTGCTGAGTGCCAAAGATCAGGCAAGACACCAGTTCAGTCCATCCATTACACACTCTCCAAATCCATTTACCATCCTAAAGGGAACCTCAGTGTGAAAAGCCAGCTGATTCAAACAACACTTTCAGTTTGTGAATATAGAGTCTCAATCTCCATCTGAGGTTCATTTATGCTGGAAAAAACCTGAAATATGTAGAGCCGGCGTTTGGTTTTTCCGTTTGCGGTATAACAAATCTTGCTATGGTGAAGACATGACCCGCCCTACTCTGCCTCTGACTGGCTTACTCTGATATTCATACTCTAAACAATCTCACTCCTCATGCCTAACTTAATCAATCAATCAAACCAACGAAGGCAACGAGTAGGGTGGGTCATGCCTTCGCCAAAGCAGGATCGGTAATTTAGCTGGCCGTTCCGCGCTGCTGTAGAACCATGGCGGTGCAACATAGCAGACTCAATCTAAGGTATCGAAAACACAGCAATTCATTTTCAGGTGATTATACACTAAAGAAAACACACTTGTTTATATTATATTCCATTTCTGCCAATAGATCCCCCTGAATGCTGCACACCAGCCCTTTAAGGCTCTGAATGAGATCTTTCTGGTTCAGTAATCTTGTTTTTATCTCAACCAAGAGGCAATTACTAAACAAAATGTTGAGAAGAGAATGTGCTTCAGGGGTTTTACTTATGCCCTTCTGGTGTCTATTTATATTAGATCCTTAATTTATCTTCACGGCACTGTAATTGTTTTTGTGGATTCATTAGTTTGGTCGGACAAAGAGCTTTTATAAAATACCGCAGCATCACAGGATTGAGACCAGATGAGACAAGATGCAGATGTCCAGAGCTGCCAACTACATCTCAAGTGAAATCAGGGTTTCTGACTCACTTTCATAACTGTTTCCAAGCTTGGCTTTAATATGAGTTTTTATGATGCCAAAGTATCATCTTGTGAATATTTAGGGCCAAGTCAATGTCCATCAAATGCATGCTGGGCACACTCGGCCAAAGCCCATTTTCTCTGGATAAATAAAACGGATATCAAAGTGAATTATTCCTTGAAAGCCACTCGCTGCTGTCCTCCAGCCACATTATGTTAATGAGTTTTGGCAACCGGATTCGTGCAAGGTCACAGTGGTTTCCATGGGGGCTGAATCACCCTCCTCCCTGGAAACATCAAGGTGTCACACAACTTATCACCAACCTGATAAATTACTCTTTTTAGGGTCACATGAAATATTTTGGTGCAAAACACAAGACAAATGTCCCGTGATCTGACAAACGGGGATGGTGGATGTGTTGGGAAAGCGGTGTGAACGAGGTGTTGTGACAGTTTGCAATTACTGTTTTTTTCAGGAAATTCACAATCTACAGAGCAAGAAAAGAGATGTGGGTGAGCTGGAGAGGGAGAGAGAGGAGGCCATAGAGAGACTCCAGGTAAGATGACAACTGGCTGAGTGTGTTGTTGCCTTCCATAAAACATCATGTTGCAGTCAACGTCGCTATACTTGTGTTGCTGGGAATTGGCACACACTGTATTTGAAAATGAGCTGTCAATGCTTGAGTGGTAAGTTTTTCTTTATATCATCCTTGAGGAGAAAAACTGAACTGCTGTGTGTCTTGAGAAGTTACCAACACTTGAAAGACAGACTTTTAGCAGACCTTTTGATTTTCAAGGCTCTTATAAAACATGATGAATGGGACTGGTTGGTGGCACTGCTGCACAAATTGGCTCTTCTCACCTACATTGTCATTGTTACCTAACTTAGTAGAGCTTGTATTATGTCAGGACAGTAGGAAAATGACTTCATTGACAGGAAGGGAGATAAAAGCATTTCATCTTCACTTTGAGCAGAGACATTCATTTATTTATTTTTTGCAATTGATGCTTGTGATTCAGTTGCTAAGAAGTCACCAGTTCAGTCTTGAAATGATTTTTGTCCTCTACTAGTACACGCTGTTTTGCAGACTTCTACTCTGCAGAAATGTTCATGGTGTGTTTTGTCTTTACCATGTTACATTTATTTTTTTACATTTTCCCATCATGTTGTGGTCTCAGTCCATTTGATATCTGTAGTCTTATAGCTTTTTTATAGTAAGAAACACAGAAGTATTGCCGAGTGCTGACCGGCTTACATGCTGTTTTCTGTTGTTCTCCAAACCAAACAGAGGCACAAAGCTGACTAATGGAAAATCAAAGTGCTGATACTGTACCTATAACGGAGACAGCACAGTTCAGACCTGCAGCAGAGAATCAGTACAGGAGAACTGAGGACTTCAAGGAGAAAACGCGTAGTATTGAGCCTCCATGCTAATGCAGGAGATTGTACCTGATGCATATTGCATAGCCTTAATTAGGTCCTTCATCATTTTTAGTAGTGGTGTCAGTTGTGAATTATGTATATTCATATTTGACCTGTTCTGTCCTTGTGGTCATTCCATACTCTATTCATGGGTGCATTTGGCATACAAAATGATCTCATAAAGCACAAAATTGCACATTTAAATTTGTGGTCTAAACAGTTTAAATCAAATAAGCCTGTTATAACATTCTCATTTAACTTTATTGCAGTCAGCAGCCACACAGGGAGTGAGGAATTTACAGGCATTTAAAGGTGTCATATTTGAAATTCATGGCATTTCGACAGCCTCCACACGGCTCTCAAGCCAGTGGCTTGCAGCTAAAGGGGCTAACGGTGCAAACAACATGATGAAACAGCAGTGCTGACTGAGCTAACGGTCTTTACCTGAGGTGGAACCAGTGGGGGGGTGCTATGCTTTCGTAACGGGCACGGCGTCAGTTGGGGCGGCACTATCCGCTTTAACCACCTTATGTGAGCAGTGCAGAGCATCGACTGTAAGCTAACCAGTGGGGAACGCTCACATGCATTTAAATATACTAAAAGGCATGTACGACTGCCCTGGCGATGTAAACAAAGCAAGGCGAAGCTTGGATAACAATGTACATGGAGGGAGAGCGATTTCATTCTCTGCTCATAAATTTAAATGTACAGAAAGAGTAAAGGCATGTAGACATACACTGAGATAAATTGTACTAATTGTTATTATTATTATTGCAGATATAAACATTTGTGTAAAAACAAAAGTACTTGTGATCCGTCTTGCTTGCCCAACTTTAGCAATGTAAAGCAAATGTTTATTATTGTCAGCCCTCGAGCCCACTTAATAATCGGGACATATTTATGGATATAGCAAAAATAACAGCAGGAAACAGTCTACTTCTGGCTTACTTTCTTTACCAGAGCGATTAACATTACTCCTCTGCAAGGTGTATTCCACAAACAAATTCATTATAAACATTTAAAAGCACAGGTTGCTTATGTTATGTCACAAAAGTACAAAGAAAGCATACAATTTGGATACCAGCACATGCAAAAAGGATGAGAAAACTGTATTTACAGTTAATGTGTCCGTAGGATCTGGAGAGACAAAACGGAGACTTGGAGGAACGGGTCCAGAATGCTGAAAAGACGCTGGCGTCAAACCAGGAGGAGCAGAACCAGGCGGCGGGCGAGGTCCGACGCGTCATCGACGTCCTTGACGTTAAAATCTGCGACCTGAACGACTTGAGACAGAGCCTGGCAAAACTCATCGACAAATAGCCACTGCGGTGGTTGGGCTGCATCTCCACAGTCAGCACTGGTTCCACCCATGTGGCCTTGATTTGTGTTTTACTGGTTTATCAGCAGAGCAACGATCAAAGCAATATGTAAGAAACGCACTGGTGTTTACCTTCATGGATCTCTGTTTTTAAGATCCGTGCAGGTAAACGGCAGGTTTCACAAACCTCTTTAAGGTGTTCTGTGCAAAATAAAAAGTCACATTAACACTGCAACCTTGGTATGCTTATCACAAACAGTTGATAGTGTGATATAACTGGCTACTACTTGTTTTTCCATATCATAGTTCCCAGCAGCTGCATGTCCTTCAGCACCCTGAAGAGGATGATATGATATTTGCAACAAGTTTTTACTCTGTTCACCGTCTGCCATCACTGAACACTCTGAAAGCTTTTGATCAATCTGCTCTGGAAGAACAACGCCCTCCTCATCTTTTTGAGGCCTTAGTAATCCAGTGTATTTTGTCAAAGTTTTACCAGGTGGTTTACAATGTAAAATGCTGAGTAGTGGCTGCTAGAAGCTGTTGGTCTTTTCAGTGATGGACTCAATTGTTTATGATAGTATAACTGATGTCTCAAAAGGACTGAAGAAATGAAAAAAGGCCCTTTTTAAAGAGCCACCAAACTGATTTTAAGCTTGTATTTTGCAAAAGTAGTCACTTCCAACAAGTATCAAAGGATTGTCTACTTGTTAGTCTATTTTGTGTAATGTACATGTATTTAATACAAAGCTGGCAATCCTTTTGTATTCATATTTTCTCTGACTGAATTCAATTCAATTTATTTTTGTATAGCCCAAAATCACAAATTACAAATTGGCCTCAGAGGGCTTTACAATATGTACACATTTGACATCCTCTTGTCCCGGAAACCTCACAGAATTAAGAAGCAATAGTAGCAGTAAAACTAAAAGAATCAAAAGAAAATGGCCCAGCGTTGTTCTGTTCTGCAGAGCTCGAGGTTTCAACCATTCAACCATGAGCACAGACGGCAAAACTGCAGTCCTGTAACAGCAGGACACGCATCAGGACTTCAGATGGTTGTAAAATAAAGTTTTACGGACACTTTTTACTCGTATACTAAACATAAATATTTGATCATAATTCTGGACATTTGTTTCACAGAAAAAACGAAGTGGCAGTTTTGTTTACTGCAGTTTGGCAAAAGACTTTGACACATTACACAGTCGGAGGCTACACATAATAGTCCTGTATGAATAAGCCTTTTACATATGCATTTTCTCATTATTGGTAGGTCTCAGAAGTCACTGAGAAAGTCAACTAGGAACTACTATTTTACTACCTGTAAAATGTCTGCTTTTACACAATAACAACCTTGAGTTCATGTTCATGTGACACCCTGCCTGTAATACTGTGGAGATGCACCCAGTAGGAGTTTTGTCAGTATAAGGACACACTGAGGCAAAGACCCTGATTAAAGTTGGCTCCAGTTCACCATCAGCAGCCTGGGCTGGTCTAACGCCAGCCAGAACATCAACAAACTCAGAGATGCAACATCCTGCTCCCATTCTGTCCTCTGAGGATCTTCAGCGTACAACTGGTTTTTGTTCATGTTTTATGAGGACTGCTCTTTTCTCACCACTTTATTCTATTATTCATGTTCATCGATGGGTTACTCAGTGAGGATGGGAAATCAGAGATGTCTACCAGCTGAATTTCTGCTAAATTCCATCTGCAGATGGTAGGTTTGTCCCTTCCACCAGGCCACTTTGACAGGTAGATCAGCATTTGAAGGAAAGGTCCAGATGTGTCACTGTGGTCTGTGGACAGAGATGCTGCTTTCTCCCCCTGTTGAGTTGAACCTGAGATTTCAGTTGATTATGTTTGTGCCGAGTTTGATTTTGTTTACATGTGTCAGTGTTCACAAAAGGTTCCAGTTCTACTTTTTCCGTGTTGCTCAACACTATCATTTACCACAATAGTAATAACCCTAGAGAGGCTCAGTGGAGCCGCAGAGCATAGATCACTATGAGAGCACTGCATGAGCGCTGCAGAAGCCCTGTACCTACCAAGGAATGTGAAGCTGTGCACAATATTTTGCACTGTGCAACCGGAGATCGCTAGAGTTCAAAAGCACAACTGCAGTAGTTTAGTTAATAGGTACTTAATTGACTTGCTTGTCGGCTTTATATGTGTCCTTCTGATGCACAGTAGCTATCGGTCTTTGCTTCTCGCCCCGATGAGTTGATTTCTTCATATGACAGTAATAAAGGTTCAAATAATGTGCAATCTTTAGCCGATGATGCAGTAACTGCCAGAATCATACTAAAATGTCAAAATGTGATTTAAGCAGGTCATAACAAAATCTGTTGTGATAAACTACCAGATAATGTACTAGAAACCGTGTATTACAAGCAAATATTACTTTGTATGGGTAGTACCATTTTCAACTGATGGTGTATTTATAACTACAATTTATATTACAGCTCAATTTCATTTTTCTGTCTTACAAGATAATACAGAAAAATATCACCTCTACAGTCCAACAAGACTAATACAGTAATGACAGTTAATGTTGCTATTGATCACATTAAGAGTTTATATTGTACCTTCAGTAAATTAAGATGGACATTTCATCATTCTGACAAGTTACTACACTAACTGGGAGTTCTGACTTAGCAATAATGTTTCCAGCATAGATGCCTGTTCATGGTTATAAGTGGTTTGTAAGTGATGAGACCTCTGCAAAGCCTGTACCCATCCATTTTAATAGAAGGGTTTATGTCACAACTGTTTTTTTTGGCTTCAGATTATGACAGATTGCTACCAGCCTTTTATCGAGCATGAAGAAAATGTGGAGGCCATCGGCTCCTTAGCACGAGCTCCTCAGTTGTCAGAAACACTGCTTCACAACAGCCTTATTCCAGTGTTTCATTAACGCACAACTGTATACAGAGTCTGTAATATGTAATACAGAGTGGTTCCTGTATACACAGAAAAGACAGTCTAACTTAAAAGGGTGTAACACCACATGTAAGTGTTTAAGGTACACAATATGATCAGTGTTGTCATTTTTAATAGAACGTGAATTCGATCTTCAGTATTATGTATTTACAACAGGTTTGAGGAGAAATCCACCTTATTTTTGAGACTATTTAGGGACCTGTTGGTGTACATATTGTTTATTGCCGTTAATTGAAACAATATGTAGCAACAGGTCTGTAAATAGTCTAAAAGATAAGGTGGATTTTGAATATTCCTCCTTAAATACACTAGAATAAGGCCTTTTTTAAACATCTGTTACAAGAGAATGCAGTACCAAAGATGCACTCATGCGAAAGCCACAACTGGAATAAACTTCATGATGCTGAAGTTCATCTCAATCAAATTTCTTTTAACATTTCACCTTTTAGCGAGACTCAAAATACCTCATTTAGTCGTGGTTAGTTTCGTTGAAATATTGGTAAACTGTGGGATGGTGTTAGTCAGTTCAAGGCGGCTATTTTGTCGTTTCACAAGAGTAAATGAATTAGAGAGCAGGTGTTTGTATGGTGTTTGACATTGTGAAATAAGTTCCATATATTTGTATAGAACTGTTTAACATTAAAACGCAATCATGCAATGTCAGGGCTGTGGTCTGTGTGATGGGAGGGCAAGAAACTCATGGTTTTGTCTTCAGTATTCTTAGTTTGCGTCCTACACATACAATTTAATATATTTCCTTACATTATATTTCAGTTGCCAGGAGGTGGCAGGTATGATACTGAATCTCTATAAGCTGATTAAGGCCAGGTGTTAAATTCTGTGAAACATTTGCAGGCACAGACGGTACCTTTTTTCATTTGGATTTTTGCTACTACCAGGTACTTGAAACGTGTTAGGCTGTATTGTTAACGATGCAATTCGGTCGAGTGATTGTGTATATAGGCTGAAACAACCAGCATGTGCTAATGTGACCACACCCAATCGGCAATGTGCCAGTCATGTTTTGGAGAGCAAGAAGCAGGTTAACTGAATTACCCTGATAACTCAGTGAACAGGCTTCTGACATAAATTACTTGCCAAATTCTTCTCATTATCTTTTGTCTTCTTTGGCAAACAGTGACTAGAGTTCATTTGGTCTGCTTACTTTTTCCTCGCAGTTAAAATTACCTGCACAGCCTCAATCATGTATTGCACACATTAATTCAAATTAAACCAACAATTCACCATTTCCTCCTGCCACTGAATAATACAAGTCAGACAGGATTACTTTCTTACATTTATTTGAACACAAAATGGCATAGAGAATCCATTCAGCCAAAATGTCTACTTCAGCTTCTTCTTGGGGCGAAGATTGTTGGTGTGTCCGCACTTCTTCTTGCGGCAGTTGACAGCACGGGGGTGCAGACGGGCATAGCACCTGCAAAACAAGTGGTCAGGGGACAACTATGAGAATGTCTCCTGAACCAAATTGAAACACTAAAAAGATGTTTCTTGTGCTCAAAAATGTAAGAATACGTGTGCTCAAAAATGTAAGAATACGTGTGCTCAAAAATGTAAGAATACGTGTGCCCAAAAATGTAAGAATACGTGTGCCCAAAAATGTAAGAATACGTGTGCCCAAAAATGTAAGAATAACACAACAATTTCTAAATTTAAGGGCAGGTATTTGAGATTGGCCAACATCTTAAGTTAGTAAAACAGATCCTAAACTGACCCACTGATACTGAATTTTGCCATTTCCGCCCATGTTTTCACAATTTAACCAAAACACCCTGCTACCAAATTACAGTACACTTCCATTTTACTTTAAATCCATGTAGCTAATTACTTTAATTCAGTGAAATACTTTTTTTTTTACCCGCTTGTGGTGCATTACTTCACAGTAAATCGCAGCAGTATTGTACACACTTTAAGTTAAAGAATAGACTGCTTGGTGATTTTCAAGACTTACTTGCGGCAGATCATCTTGTCACAGTTGTATTTCTGGGCCAGCTGTCTGAGAGAAGGCTCAATGATGCCACCACGCAGACGCAGAACCAGATGCAGAGTGGATTCTGGTGGGCAATTCAAAAATGTCAATCTCAGTCACAGGCACAAAATAAAACCTTTGACAATAACCAGGTGCATTGTAAGAGCTTCCAGTTCTGACCAACGTATTGCTTATCTAAGGTTCACTGACTATTGACACATTAACTGTTACCTTTCTGGATGTTGTAGTCAGACAGTGTGCGTCCATCCTCAAGCTGTTTGCCAGCGAAGATCAGACGCTGCTGATCAGGGGGAATTCCTGCAAACACAACACTTATCAACCAAGCTGTATTCAACATTTGATCATGAACATTCAACAACAAAAGGCAGAGATGCCAAGTTCCTTCAATGAAATTAAGTAGCATGACGATCTGAATGCAGGGCCTGAAACAGAGTAACGTCACACCTTTCGACCTAATCTACCAATATGCTCTAAATGAACTTCTTAATACTTCAATTTACACACATTGTTCTATCACACTTTGCAAAAATAGTAAATCTGAAGGTAAGAATGGGCTTTCAAAGACATTTTTGTAAACTCAAAGAGTAGCGGCAAGTGTCTAGTTAAACTACCAAGACTTGTTAAGATGGAAGTTAAAAGTGACTGCTTGCCTTCCTTGTCCTGGATCTTTGCCTTGACATTTTCGATAGTGTCGCTGGGCTCAACCTCAAGGGTGATGGTCTTCCCCGTCAACGTCTTCACGAAGATCTGCATGTTTGCAGGCTGCGATAGAGGGACAACTGCAGTTAGCTCTGAGTCTAGACGTTAACATGACGTTAGCTAACTGGCTAACCACGGAACTGTCCGCATCTTTCACACCAAGTCAGCGACACACAGACCCGTCATTCACATTCGTTAGGAACAAAACGGCAATGCCGTCACTTTTTTTAAACTATAATAACCGTGAGAGATTACGCTAGCTTTTGATCAGCAGCTACCGATGTGTTAGCTAATGTTAGCAGCAGAGTGGACTTGACGCGAGGCCTTGCCACATGCGCACCGTTAGCGTGGCGCTTAGTCACAGTTTTCTCTATTTTCTGCCTTCGAAACGGACCCACAGTACTCAGTACACATTTTATGTCGATATACGACGACTAATATATTGTCTTAATCGCATTCAACCACTCGAATGCCACTATAGATCGATAAATAAGTGCTGGACAAAATGTGTACCCACCCGGCCGCTAGCTGAGCCTAAACGAAAAGAGAGCGGAAAAGGCTGACGCTGGGATACGTCACTTCCTCTCTGAGTGTTTCCATGGGAATAAAATCATGCGAGTGCATGTTGAATTTTGACAAACGGATACCAAATGTATTATTTAGAAACATTACAGCTTATTTAGCCACATTTCGTTGAGCGAATGGTCCAGAATTTTTTTTTAAATATTGCTATTCTTATTAGATGTTTTAATATATATTCCCAAATTGTATTCTACAAAAATAGACGGAGGCGAAATCGAGCAGAATGATTCACTTTAACAGCTGACAGTTATTTAAAACAACGCATACGTGTCTCGTTAAACAGCTTAAAGATTGAGAAACGGTGTTTAGTTGAATTTTAAGGGCCTAAACTCATTTGGCCCAAAAACTTTATTTTATGAGGGTTTAGTGTGTTAGGGATTCAGTCCAGTATGTGTACGTGGCTGGACATGACTGCTCTAAAATTAAGTTTGACTGACATCTACTGTTTTCGTGTTGAACCACTTTGTGAACGTGGACAAAACAGCATAATGTGTCAATTTGCAATACAGTGTCGTTTCAATAAATGTTAAATTAAATTACATACAATTCGTAGGGCAGCCTACTTTATTTTCTATAACAATATTTCCATAATGTGAACGTTATATCCCAACAAAGCCGGTCTAAAAACCAGGAACATGTTATTATTTACTGACAAGTCATTTCTTAAGTGTGAGGATTTATTTTTGTGATCTTGTTGTGGAATAAAATGTTAATTTTGTGTGTGTCCAGTCCACTTATTGCAGGTAGCCAGGTAACAGGACAACATGGCATGCATTTGTGTCTCTGCAGCAGCAGTAACAGTATCACCATCATCGTGTTCCACAGAGGTTTCCATGGTGAGCCATTGTGGCATTTTTCACCTGCTGCATGATAGATAGCTTAATCAACGAGTTACAGTAATTTAAGGGCGACACTGGTATCCAATATAACTGCAGTGGTTTAAAACACCTGATGCCAGCTCGTCCTGTAGGAAAAGACTTCCTCCCGTCTACCAACATCCCGTTTCTGGACAGGAGGACTTCCAGTCCTTGTCTTCCAAGAAGGCTGAGCCTTTTCGAGCACCCACCCCAGTTCAGGTGGACCACAAGGACTTGAGGTAGATCAAGGAGTAGCAACTTACAGAGGAGATAGTGTCCTACCACCATCACCCATTGCCACAGCTCACTCGTACCCCACGCTGGACTGCGCTTTACACCAACTTCAAGATGCAAACAGACCCCGGAGAGGTGGCTTTCCTCACCACACCGTCTCAGAAATTACGGCCCCAGCCCTTCCAGATCCCTCCCATTCCTATACGACAAACAGAGGCCAACAAGAAGATACCACATTTGGAAAAACTCCCAGAAAGCACCTACGAAGCCTCCTTCACCCCACACCGCCACTGTCCTGTTGTAAAAGCCAGGCCTAAAAATCTCGGTTAGTGACAATTGAATTAAATTCTGATTATATCTGCACTTCTAGAAGAAAAGGTTAATTCAGTGCTAAACCATAAATGATTGTACAACATCATCGACTTGAATCTGTGTGGCAGTTCAGCAGAATGTAATTTTACATTTTTTTCTCTGTAGTAGAGGGTTTTCCCTCATTAAAATGGGACAGGCGCTGTCCCAGTTATGTCTCCCACCACAACACCACCTTCCAGGGAGCCTGGGGCACAGCAGCTAAACCTGTGGAACAGCAGGTAACACAGCAGTAGATGTTGGGCATGAGCTATCATGATCAAAGAAGGTTTTTTAGGTTTTTAATCCAACCAGACACTCCATGGCTTGAATGAAAACCTGCAGACTCTCGAGGGAAACTGTTGCCATACGACTTATACGTTGATTTTAGAAGTCACAGTGAAAAAGATTAATTCTCCCAATAGTGTCCAGTCCACTTAGCACTGGAAGCCATTTCAACTTCTGCTTGAGCTCAGATGTAATGCAGAATCCTGCCTGAGCTGAGCTGCAAACACATCAGCACATCTTTATTTAAAACATCATCACCTCGAGGCTAAAAACTGCACCAAAAGCTCTCGATTTACTCAAGTTCTGTACTTAAGTACATATTTACCATTATGTACTTAAGTACTTAAGTACAGAATGGCTGCAGGTCTGCAGGTCTGCAGCCATTCTGCCTCACTGGAAAAATTCCCGTCACATCACTCAGTTCACATCCTATACAAAGAGTCGTCAAACTGTAGAAAAAACAATGGCTATAGGGCCTGGTGTCATCCTTCAGATCTCTGTTCAGACCTCTCTTGGTTTCACTGCATGATTTGATGTGATGCCAGCGGTTTGAGGCATCTTGCATGCTAAAATTGTGATTCAATTTGTGATTGAATCAAAAGCCTCAAAAACAACTTTTTCAGAATTGGAATTGTCAGTCTTTTAAAGCTCATTATAACTGGTGTTGAGTTTATCCCCACACAAATATAATAAAAGCATTATCTGATATGGTTTTTTGATACAGGCCACCTGTGGTGACGGAGCGTTTGAAGCTCAACCTTGAACATTACTCTCAGAACTCATGGTCAACAACATCCAGAGAAGCCTTTTGCTACCGCAAGCTGGGTGAGTGTTCTCTGTGTTAATCCGTCAGTTTTCATTTTTGCAAACTGACGATTCAGATCTATTACTTTAATTTCCCATGGTGAAGACGTCTTGATTGCATTAAGTAACGACACAAGCTGCTTTGAACCTTCAAATACTAATAGGTCCCCAAATGGGCAAATTTTTAAAATGCATTTGAACTCACGTCGGTACTGTTCACTATATGTGAGTAAACTCTTCAAAGCAGATATTGTTTTGTGCTAACAGTAATGAATAGTGTTGATTAGGTGAAGGCTGTGTGTGACTGTACAATGCCCTTACATTTTCACTATTTGTAAATTTGTCTTAAGGACATTCTAAACCAAGCAAACTAAGATGACACAATATTGAGCTACATATGGAAGGCTACTTTATTAATCCATCTTAGTTATCCTGCCTGGATTTGGTTTATATCCAAGCAGATCCAGTCGTTTTGATCAAAAGGGACCACGATATCAGTTCCTTACCCAAGGGGGACACTGATAAGAAGCGCAACAAAGAGAGGATGTCGTTCACCACCAACAGAATCTCCTTCCCTGATGTGAGATAAGAGATCTTCTGCACAGTTATTTCTTTCTGTATTTATAATAGTATTGATACATATATTGCTTTAAAGTTTAAACATAAAAGTTAACTTTAGTTTAATTTATGATCCTCCTAGCAGAACCACTCAGAGTGTTCAGTGTGTTTGCCCGGGGCTGACCTGATGACCAAGAGCCATGTACAGTTCGGCTCACCCTGTCTGTCGAACCTGTACTGCTCAACCACGGCCAAAGAACACTACTGCAAACAGGACGGAGAGCGGGCCAGACCAGCTGTCCAGCTGTCGAGCAACATGAGTGGACCAGGTGATGGATCGGTTGTGTTTGTGTGTTTAAAGAGAGATACATGTAGACATTAACTGTGTTTAATCTGTTTCGCAGAACACAAGTTGAACCCCAGCACCACCGAGACTGATTACCTCCCTTTGAAGACCCGCCGACAGACACCTTGTCTGTAGCAGAGGGTGAGAGATCCCATCATGAAGTCAAAAATGCCCCTACTCACCTGTGTAATTGTAATAGTAGCAGTAGCAGCAGTGGTAGTTGTTGTCATAGTAGTAGCCAAATAGTAGTTGAAAATAATAATATGGTAATGGGATAAAGTGCTGCTGGAATGAGTCCGAAAACCTGATAATGAGTTAGCATTTTTGCACTTCCATTTCCCTCATCTCAAAGTCAATGGGTTTATTTAAAAAAAAAACATATTCAAACATTTTGTTTTACGATATGAAAGACGTCAATAATAATCCCACTCATAAATTTTTAAGCTTTTACATGTCTAAAAAAAGGCTGTTGCTTACAAGTGGCTAAATGAGACAACAAAACGTCATCACGCCGAACACTAGTCAACCTTTAGCTTCGTGATGTAGTTCGTTTTCATCTAACGTTAGCTTTTTACTTCTGGCGATTGCATTTAAACTTCAAAAATCATGAGAGTGGTGTTCATTTATAAAGATTATCTTGTAAGTATCATAAACTTTTGTTGGCCACAGAGCTTATTTTGACTGGAATTTCTCATCACTTAGCATAACCTTGTATAATGTTGTCTGCCTCTTTTTCTGTTTATCATAGAGCAACAGCAGGTTTCCTCTGGTTCATCAGCACTTCAGCACCACCCACAGGGAAGACAGCCACACCTCTGATCTTGCAGCATCCTGGCAACAGCCAGTTTTGCACTTATTTTGTCATAAAGTGACTGAGAACAAACACTGGGTCACTTTCTCTTGTGTTCTTGCTCAACTCCTGATAAAAGATATAAAGTCAAATATGTTTTGAATATGGAGCATATTCCACATATTTGACATGCTCTGGATTTTTTCCCTCTGAGTTTGTGTTTCTGAAAACGTAGCTGAGACTTTTTATCAGTTAGTAGTAATAAACTCAACAACTCAATCCTTCTCAAATGGGCACATACTTACAAACTGCTGCTGTTGTTGTACAAACTACAACACACCAACAAACAATATGCAGTTTAACATTGAAGGTCACCCATAATGTAACACCACAAAGATTAAGTTGTGCTCAAATGGCAGCAGTTTTGAATTTGCATACAAATATACTGTTTTCTCACCATGAACTTTTCTTAATAATATGCAAATAAATCATAGTATTGGTAACATTAGGCCTCATCATGCGACTGGTTGTTGGGCCTTAAAGTCAATTGAGAATTCCAATAAGAAACAAGGAGTAACAGAGATATGAAAATTTGTCATTTCAAGTCATTTTCCTACATTTCCCAGAATTCTCTTTACCAATCCCAACAACAGAGGTGTGGTGTTGTTATATTATATTCACATGAAGAACATTAACCCTGATCCTATTTCAGCTCATTAGAACGTATAACACCTTTAAATTTCAAGCACGCATCTACTAAACCACT